GAGAGATCTTAGCAGATTCGTCATGTAAATAGCGCGATGCATTTCTCTTATAATGAATAAATTATCTCCCTTAAATGATATACCTGATTCGTTTTCAGATATCTAATATGCGGATCAGTATTAGCCAGAAAGTCTTAAAGCCTCATTAAATGCTAACTGTTGGAGATTAATATTGCTTGACTTTGCATTCACATTTTTTCCTTGATTTTAGATAAGCAAAGATACATCTTTTTTACTTAAACAAGATTATTTTGAGGGAGCAAATAGCATCAGATGAAAAATGTTTGCTTGTAGTATATTGAGTGCTAATTGATAAGTAAACATTTTGTCGGTTTCAAAAACAGATTTGGAATGTTCTTGTAACATTTTGTGTGAGTAGAAATAAGAAAAGAAAAATAAGAATGGAAAAATTTTTGTGGTTTTAAATGGACTCAAGTACCTTCGTTTGCTCTTCATATTGAATGATAGATTGTCATACCTGTACCTATTAACAGGGAAGCAATACTTGTTAACACTTAGTCCATGAAATTGGCGTCAGAAGATATCGAGAATCGAGAATCATATTCAGTGATCTTAATAGAAGATGGCCGCTATTCCTGTGTTAGCGTGTAACGCACTTTCACGCATTTCTCTCCGGATTAGATACTGATTATGTGTAATCGATCTAATAATGACGATTTCTTACCTTAAACTTTCATTTAATACATTACGTTTGTGTTGCCTCAAATATTTTTCCAATGTGCAGTAATCCATGTTCTTGCTTTTTAGATGTAGATGTTTTTAGATACTTGATTATATCAGGGCCCTATTCAGTTTTTGTAGTTATGTCAATTAACTCTTTCATTCCATTAGAAGTTTGGCTAAGCATAACTGGTGGTTTTATAACTGATGTGGAAGTCGCCCAATGAATCATTGTTATATTTCCGGTGAGGAACTGGGGCTAGCATAAAGTTGAGACTCGCGTTCTGCCGCAGTCAAACGTCTAAGGCTGCTTGTTTTTGTTTGTTTGTCTCAATTTCACTCGACCTCTTTTACCAGTTAGTTTAAATATGGACAATTAATTCGCTAACGTAACTATCGTTTCATTTTTCTGAAAACTTTGACTTTTTTCGTTTTTAAACGCAGGGTGACACTACACTACGGCTTCGGTTGCCAAAAACTAAAAACTGTTTTTTAGTAAACTTAAAAAAGTCTAGTAAACTAACAGGGTATTGATAATAGCTTAAACTTTCAAAGCCAAAGAAGCAAAAAACTGCCAAAGTACAATCCTTAGCTTTGAATTACCTTCAGTTGCTTATTTAAGCTTTAAATTTGCAAATTTCTCTCTCAGTTTGACCTCGGTGAAGACCCCGCGTGGAGTGACTTTTTCAGTTGTCGTCCCTTTAGTCGCGACTGGAAAGTACTTACAAGTTAGTGCTGACAGCATGGTCATTGTTTTTACACCACATTTTACGATTTAACAGTATGCTTAATTGTTTTTGATGGTAATATTATTGAGAAGTTTACTTTTAACGTCTAATTAAGATTTTACGGATCGGAAATTCGTACTGTCTAGGTAAATGGTACAGCCAAATTGGCTTGCCCAGAGAAACTTCTGGAAGCAATGGGACATCTAAAAATAAAAATCTAAAAGTTTTTTTTCAACAAGATCTAGACTACAAATGGGTTAATTTATCTTTCTTAAAGTCATTTTACAGGCTGTGAATTCACTAAATTAACGACAACAGTAAATTAGTTGTCTATGAGACTTACTTGCCGTAAGTGCTTCAAGATAAACCATCAGTGGATTTCTTTAAAGCACTTGCCTAAACTCATTCAGTTTTTTTTCTCAGACGAGCTTTGTGTTTTTTTTTCCCACGAGAAAGCAAATCTCAGATCTACCAGCCATTGGCAATCAAAAGCGCCCAAGTAGATAAACTAGCCTGATCAGTAGTCAAGTGCAAATTTGCCCTAAAACAAAACTTGGAGCAGACTGAGTATTTTCTATGCCAAACTGGTAGAATGGATACTAGGTTTTAAATTAATATGCCTTTTCAAGGTTGTTCGGGTCAGTCCTGGTGATGTCCGTCTTAATTAAAAGCCTGGTAAGCATGGTTTACAGAAAACCGTGGGAGACCTGGATAAATTTCAAGGACAGTAAATCGAGTTTAATGCTGTAAAATTTTGTTAATATCTTTTAACGCAATGCGGTAAAATGCAAAACTGAGTCTGAACCAAAGATTTAGACCGAAGCTTTTCACTCAGAGCAAATCGCTTGTTGAATAATAGCAAGAAACAAGGGATGAAAATTCAAATGGGACACATTTTTAACGGTTTACTTACTAGCTCTGCTACAGCTGTAGTTCAGTGCTTCAAGAGATCTGCTTCGACATTCCAGGCTTAGACTGAACGTGATTCTTGAGATAGCTACGATTACGCAATAATCAGTGGAACATTTCCATACTAAGTATATTCTGTTTTGTTAAGTCACGTTCAAAAGAGGAAAAAAATTACAGATAATGAATATTATCATTTGCTGCTGACAAGTAATGAGAGGCGTTACAAAGCAACAAATAAATTTTCATATCGTGTTAGTTATTTAAACACTGTATTTGGGCCATGCAATGAAAGCAGCTGCTACTGACATCAGAGTTTTCGTCAAGCGATAAAAAAGCGAGGCAGTTTGTTTACAACGGTCAAGGACTAGTCTGATGCTCAAGCTGAGAGTTGCATCGCTCACGTGTTTAATGTCATGTTTTAACGCCTCGAAGGGAGAAGATTAAAAAATGAATCGCTTCATTCGGTGCCGACAGCTAATGAAGGGCTTACAAAACAGAATTCCAAGTAAGAAAATGTTAATACCGTTTTCATTATTTTAACACCATATTTTGGCACGAAATGAAGAAAAGGATGCGTTAAAAAGCGAAGAAAATTTTTTGCAGAAGCAAATTTCAAGACTTTTGGTGCTTATTTTAGGTTCGAAGTGCAAGGCTAAGTTAGATAGAGAGTTGTTAACGCGGGACAACCTTCACACTTAACTTGCTTAGGCGGCTTCTTTTGAACTATGCACAACAAAACAGTAATTAAAAAATCAAAATAGCTGGTATTCAGCCGGCCGCTCAAGTCCAATTGTATTATTATCATGATTCTTTTTACTCAGCTGCTTTTCGCAGGCCTCGGCAGAATCAGCCGTAAAATAGTTCATCTTGATGAGATCAATCATGGTTAATTTCATTGAAAAAGATTATTAAAACGTTAACTTTTTTCAGTTATCTCATATGAATTGTAATGCATAATAGCTAAACTACCGTAGTTCATTCGTAGATTCCTCACAGTCTCTCATGTTGGAGGGTCATGAATTTCTTAGCTGCCAGCTTTCTTTAGAATATAAAAGCATTAGAAGGTAACGAACAAAGATATTATCTTTATCATTAGCATTCTTTTCTCTTGTTATTAGAACATCTTGCTTATCTTTAAAAGTAAAATGGTTTTACAGAAAAAAAATTCAAATAGGTCGGAATTCTTCTTGTTGGGGCATATTTCACATGGACTTTTTACGCCAAGGCACTGGAAAACAGGCCGCGCTGCAATCGATTCATTAATCAAATTCCTTCATTATGATTTGAACTTCGATGTTCAATTCGACAAAAACTAAAAAAAGAATTAAATAAGTGCAACTAAAAACCCAAGGGAATATGAATATGATATGCTGCTATGAAATGTAGAGCCAGGAAGTACCGTCCCTTGAGTTTGCTGCCCAATTCAATTTTCTGGCTATTTTCTACATTCCGCTCGTGGAACATAGATTTCTCCCATCAGAAATATTAAGAAATTAAACAAGACCATGCGTGAAATAGTTTTAACCGCCAACCAATCACATTTCTTGAACTTACATATCATGTTTTGTCCAGTCAGTATGGAGAAATAATTTTCCTGAAAAAGTTATGCTCCTCTACAGCAAAATTAATCTAACTCCTTAACGGTAGCTAGCAAGGGGCTCCGGTTTGATTTCAAATCCATGGTAAAAAACTCTAAGCGGAACTGCGTGAGGCCAAAAAAGAAGAAACCTTGTTTAAATTTGCCTTTAGGGAGTAGTTTGGTCGCCAAAGCGACACACGTTACTTAGTTCTTTAATCATGCACCGAAACAGAATTAACTCTGCGATTCTTAGAATAATTCTAAGAAATAAACTGGAGAGAAGTGATATGGTGGGTGTATTAATTTCGCGGTGTAAATTATTGTATTTTTCGTGTAGATGCGACTTTCATGGTAATATTTTAAGAATCAATCAACAGAGAACTAAAAATAGCATAGAGAAAAGGGAAAATGATGTCTCCATCGTTAAGCAGCAGAACAACGGATAACGACTAACAATTTTTTTCCTGCTCTTAGAGAAAATTGCTAAACTTTTTTCTCACTGCGCAGCTTATTTTCAGATAATATTTATTTGTTTCTATTTCCAGCAGGTAATAAGCTGATAACGACGGAGCTCAAGTGTCGACAAGTGCATAAATCAATATTAATATGAATTGATTTTATTCGAATTCCCGGCTTCATGTTAATGATATTAGACTCCTTTACCTCCAGTGGATCAAACGTGCAAATTGAGTGGTGATAGAATCTGTTCTGTAGTACATTAAATATTCTCTCTTAAATGATAGGTTAATGAAGACAGAGAATTTCTTTCAATTGATGCTAGATTAGTAGATTGACAATACCAGACTATTTGGGTGTTTTCAGTCGGATTTTGCACGCAAGGGCTTAGCAAAGGTTGGTTAAAAGAACTCCTCTAATTTTTCAAGTTTTCAAATTTGCATGCTAGCTTTTATATCATTCACGTACGGTTTATAATAAGAGAATGACAGAGTGGTATGATAATATAAAGAAAAGAAAAGCTGCTAGTCATCAATAATTCACTCTTTTTGGTTTTGTAGGTAAAATCAAGCTAAACTTCTTCTAATTTACCCGCCATCTTGTCTGTCTTTCACCTGCATTCAAGCACAGAAGTTCAAGCTGGCAAAAGAAAAGCACTTTGAAGTGGTGATGCATCTTACATTTATCTTCGTGAACACATTGATCTTCCTGATTTATCCAGGTAAAACAGAAAACGCAGTTTCTTTGAAGAAGTGTTATTTTGAAGTGTATTTAGATGTTGTGTTTATGATTTTCTATTAGATTATCCTTTATACGTTAGAAATTAGCGTTGAGTTTATAGTAGCTTTCGTTGACAAGGTTTAACTTAATTGATTTGGCAAGAAAAATAAGTTTTCTTGAAATAGGACGACCGAACCTTCTGCTTTTCTACTATTTGTCATCTCGATGTGTCTGTAATATCACCACAAGTATGCAAATTACGCAAAATATTTTCTTTACGGCTACGAAAAAACATCTTTATTGATTTCTGAGCATTTTTCAGAAAACTTTCAGCTTTTATCGTGTAGCTTTACTGAGACGAAAATAACAGAAAACCTTTGCCTTGCGAATGAGAGCACTTGGCATGAGATACATATTCGAAAGCTGCCTGACTGTTAAGCTTTCAAATGATGTTCTAAAATTTAATCTCAATATCTAAGTTCATTGCGATTGTAAAAGTTACTACATTTAATTGAGAAGTTTGAACAAGATTCTGTTCCACGAGCCATGTGAAATCTCTGTTACTCATTTCTGTTATGCTAAGAGTGAGTTAGGGGGTAACAAGCAAGAAAAGTCACTCTTTTAGCTTAGTTAAGCAGTATTTTACTGAAGGGATCACAAGCAGCTTCGGTAAACTTTATTAACGCAAATCAAAGAAAAAAAGTAAAAATTTTGATCGACCAGATATGATTTTGTTTTATAAGACAATGTATTGGCGGTATTAATGATTTAATTTCGTAGTTCGTATATCTGGGAATCAGAATCAGAGATAATCTCCCATTGGCTGAAATTTGCTCGCAGTTGCATGAAGAAAATTAAAAATTCTATTAGACACGAGAAGACAGAAATTTAGGTAAGGTGGTTTGTACTTTTTAATTTTTTATTTGAAAGGTAAAGTAATTAAAAATAGAAATTTTGGACAAATGGAAAGGGAATTCAATTGTGCTTTGAGAATGTAGTTGAAAATCGATAACTGTTATTTTTCGTTCGGTAGGGGGTCAAATTGGTTAATGAAAATTCCTGCTGTTTTTAAACTTTTCTTTCAAGAAGCAATTCATGCAAACCATTGATATTCCGGTAACAAAGCAAACTTTGACATTCTTTCTTTGGAAAAGTAATTTGTTTAATTTTTAAGCTGTTTCAGAAGATTGATTATTTTTCTTGATGGATTGAAATTTGTGCAAACATCTATTCTGATGGATGATTGCATCCCAGCAAAAACAGTGTGTCGCCGTCTATAATTTGACAATATGCAGGTGGCGAACCGATTTTCACTTAAAAACAACAAGGGAAACCCTGGCTTATTTATGTTTCAAGTTTCATTACTGAGAATCGAAGATGCTGGCGATCATAAGATCGTTATTACTAGCAGATCAGTCCTGTTTATGGAATGTCAGCAAACTTAGTGTTTTGGTTATAAAATTTCATTTTTTTGTCGGATGCAATATGAAAAGATATTTACTCTCCTTTCGAAAAAGTTGTTTTTCGCTACTTTAAAATAATCATTTTACTAGACGCAATCCTTTTTGAAAATAGTAGTCAAAGTAAGGTAAATAAGTAACAGAGATTTGTCTGTCGCATTGACCGTAGATTGTCCTGTAAACCGCTCAATTATTGGTTTTGTTTGATTCTTTTTGAAAGCCAATTGTACTTCTCTAAAAATCATTTTTCTGTGCCTGGCAACCATTTCAATTCACTTAAAAAGTTGACATGTCGCAGTTGGTATACTGTCGACTGTAGTGATTATTTACGCTACTGGGGAAATTTTTCAGAGAGAAACATGCATTGCATGGGATTCTGGAATGTTCCCCTACTCGAATTACCTCGCGGGAGTGTGGCATGTTTCCGTTTAATTTTTTGTTTTAGTCTATTTTTCATTTGAAACGAGACCACTCAGTTTTTACTTTACCTCAGTCAAGGCATTGATCGTGAGGCCATAAATTTCTTAGTTTTTGAAAAAGAAATGGAGAAATGGAGAGCTTATATATGGCAGTATGGCACAATTGAATTATGTAACTATTTAATTGGTACGTACATGTACAGAGTTCCACGAAGGCACCAACATGGCGCGGTCTTCATATTGATTCCTGTATTATGGAACTACTTTTTGAAAAATAACTCATGTAAAAGAAATCACATAAAACTGAGACTTGGAAAGTATTTTAACATATTAAAATTCTGTTACCGTATCATTTTAGATTTCCTCGCCTTTTTGGCGTTTTGTTATTAAATGTAGCTGTGAAAACAAGCAATAATTGGTTCAAAAAGTACGAAGGCAACTTTTTCTCGAAAAACTCTCCGTGGCCTTCATTTTCACGGTCTTCTGATATGATTAATAAGCAAGATGACGATTTTGAAGTTGCGACACGGATTGAAGCATGACGCAACTTGGAACCATACGACGTCATATTTATAACGCCAACTTAGCGACGATTATTAGACATTTTTGATGCACTATTGGCACACTAAAGCCTCCCAATTTCAGCCTAACCTGAGTGCAGTCACGATATATTAATCGTTACTTTGAAACGTAAAAAGAAGGAGAATTGGTGTTCATTAAATATTAAATATGTATGCTAAATATTACCTCCACCAATAGGTGTTTTCTAATAGGTTGTTGTTGTACTGATCAATTTACAGCCAAAGGACTATCTGACGTGGCTTTTAACGCCAGTGTAATTAGTGAATCTATCACCAATACTACTGACAGTGATGGTAAGCCCAATTTTTTTCTAAAATCGTTATTTAGTGTTGGTGTTTTTTGTGTGACATACGTATTTGATCTATTCCCATTCCCAAATATTCCTGCGTTTTCAAAAAAAGTTGAATAATTGACTCTCGAAACAATCTTAATATTAAAAACAATGCCATAGCGTTGTACATATGGAGGTTAAACTGATTTTCGCCTTCCAATTGTGTCTAAGTTGCAGACGCGGGGTTGGTGCAAGACGATGATGATGAACTCCGGTTGGTTAGGGATCTTTTTGAACACTACGACATAAACGTGCGTCCTACGGTTGAGAAGGACTTGCCGATTGTAGTCAAATTTGGGATTGCTTACACCCAGATTGTCGATTTGGTAATTTGATTTGTATTATTTGCCTCTTTTAAATAATATCACAAAATAAGCATTGCAAAAGTTGAATTGTTTTTTTAGAAGCACTAAGCCAACTTTTGTCTATAGAAAAACTTTGATTAAATTTTGCGCTTTGCGTGATTAAATAACATTGTACAAGTAAACATGAGTTTCAGGAGTTTATTCTATGTACAAGTACAACTTTTCACGTACAACTTGGCACTTTAAAATTTTCGATATTTCTAGCAGTCTTGTAATTATCTCAAGTGAGTTTAAATAATACAGGAATATATTTCGGTTTGAACTGAGTTTTTTAAGGTAGTTAATATATAAATTTGAACAAAAAGAGACTCTACAGACAAAAAGACTCAGGGGGTAAGCACAATCATCAAACAAATATTTGATAAAGCCATGACTGAAATGCAGTCCCTCAGATATCTTAAGTCCTTAAATCGAATGAATGGCATTCAATGTTTTTGTTTTTTTTATCAGCAATACCACAAAATCTATCTGTTTAAAGAGATCCAACCACTCAATGTTTGTCCCTTTCCCTGAGGGTTTTAGATGTATTGTCTATTTTGCACTTATGAACGCGGCATCACTCCCAAGGGAATTTAGTCAAAATCAAATATCTACAAACAGAAGCAAATTGGCATTGTTTTACTTAAGAGTTGATAACTTAAACATGTAAACTACAAAACTACTTAATAAGACCTTCGAACGCTTCCCAGGGAGCCATGAACAAACTTCACTGACAAGATTGCAGTCATTGGATCATGTGAATTCATTTGACTGCTGTCGGCCCTTTGCTGCATTTTTGCCAGCCTTTGAGGCAATGGAGACCTTTCAAGTAAGTGAAATCATAGAGCTAATAAAACGTTAATCCTTTTCCAGGGTCATTAAGACCACTGAAAGGTAATTCTATCATTTACGTTTGACCATGACAATATCCTTCGAAAATTTTCGCTGCGATGTCGATTTTAGGCCCCTCGCAAGAGATGGAGAAATAAACTTCTTTGTGGTTATCAGTAACTTGCATGGCGACAGTTAAGTCTACAAAGCGAGTAAACGTGAAACATAGAAAATGATAAATATGGAGTCTTAAATCAACTTATTTAGATTCATTTGGCTGTGTTAATTGTGCTCTGTCGTCGTCCACTAGGGCCCTTTGGGCAACCGGCTCAATACGGATGAACTATGCCGTAAATGTATTCATTAAAAAATTCAATAGACATTTCTTTTCTCAGAGTAAATATTAAATAATAAATCTTTATGAGTTCGTCAAGTGTTGATTTCAAGCATTTGTAGGAAAACTCAAAGATAGATGTTTCTGTTGGTTTCAGGCTGCCATATTTGCGCCCCTCAAATGGACACCAAAATGGCGTCTCTAGACAAAGCTTTACAAATTTGAGTAAAACGTTTTTCCGAATATCTCGCATATGAAATATCGCACAAACGTGATTCTTTTGTATACTCATTTTCTTTCATTTTCCAGATTCTGGACTTTCTGTATTGAATAGTTTGCAATTCTATTTTTGATGGCGTGACAGTGAAAACAGAGAATTGTCTGTTGCTTAGAGAAAGCACGTGACCTTCATTCTCAATTTTTGCTGGGTTTCATAGGTTTTTTTTATACAAATGGCCCATTTCCAAAAAATCAATTAATTAGTGGTCATCAAAAGTTATCTTCATCGCGCCCGGCGCTCGTGATTGGCACATTTTATTACAACATGCGCAGTGTAAAAGCTCATTCCACTTTACGGGACAATTATATGTAAAAAAACACCATCAACTGCAACGTAAGGAATGCAACATGCCTATATTCAAGGGTGAACACCGATCGTTTTAAATTGTCTTTTATAAAAAGACTTATTTCATTTTTTTTTATTACGATCTAGGTTTCAGTGTTAGTGCTATGCTTTTAATCAACAGTTTTTCTAGAGTTTGTATCGTAAATTATGTAGCCATATCTCGTGGTGAATAAAGACCTTTAATTCATACTTATTGTTGCTGTTATAAACAACAGTACCAAAATATGCTAGATTATAAGATAACAATAAATTTATGAAAGATGATAAAATTAGTGTGGCAAGGCCGGAATCATTAATCGGCTAGTTCATAACATGAAGTACGAAACTCATACAACAGGCTTAGCCTAATTAGCTAAATCTTAATAAACTGAAACGATGCTTTAACTTTATCAAATCAAGCGGATAAAAATAAAATAAATAAAGCGGATAATTCCTAAAGATATATCTTGGAAAGAAATCTTTGTCACATTAATAAGCCAAGGTTAGACGAATTATCTCTGAAGATAAATTCAAACTTAGAGAGGAATTAAGGAAATTGCATTTTTAGCATTCTAGAAACAAAAAAAACTTCTTTTAATTATCACTTTTAAGTGGTGTTTCTGACCTAAAAAGGACTGTGTCGAAAAATTTCATAGTACTTGCTTACAGTTCCAGCTTTTTCTTTCCAGTTAGGTTTGCTACTAAAATAGTCAAACTGATTTTTACCTTGAAATTCATACTACATTTAAGAGTTGGTATAGGAGAGTTTATCTTGTATAGCCTAGCGTCGTTTACTTTCTTAGGGCCTAAGACAACTTGCCTAAATTTCTGTTCATTTTGCCGTACAAGGGCTTTTATTTTCCTGTCTTACTATGCGATTTCCTTTCTCTAAAATGTGGACATTCGATTTCTATCTATTCAAAGTATTTTTCTTTTGTAAAATTTCTATTACTGTAATGCGATCAACTACTCATTCAAATAAACGATCAATATTTTGTTGTTTGATCCTAATTCTTCTTCTTCCACCCTTTACTGCTCTCACAAGTGATCTAGTACACTTATGGGGTTGAATGATACTCTAAATGGTCTGCTGAGAACTTACTTGGATTTGTAACTTGTTATGAACCACTTCAGACTGTCAGAATCAAGCACACTTACACATTGACGGAAGAAAACAATCATCAAATGCTTTCAGTAATTAAAACCGAACTTAGAGTTACAGGCATAGAAATCACTGCTTTTTAAGTGGCGGAAAATCAAACTGTTTTCATAAGCATGTAATTGTCAAATAAATTAAAAGGATTTTCCGAATCATCCATAAAAATAGAAGATAGCCTACAGAGGGACTTAAATGTAAAACACCTAAGAGGTAATTTAAATTTAGTTATCTCGTAATTAAAAGCTACCTATCATCTCATCAGAGCGATAAAATTTGTGGTAGTGTGTGTCGCGTTTCAAAGTCGAGATAAATAGTCATGGCTATTTCAATCTGCTTTCTTTGATAATCCACCTGCGGACCAGGACATATATTATGTACATGCCTCTGACACCTTAAATTGGCTATAAATATAGCAGAATCCAAAGTATTGTTGTCTTCTTTAATAACAGATTTCGGTGTCAAGAGTAGTTTTGCTTATTTTTTTTGAACTACAACAAAAGCACCTTGATGAAAAAGAGTTTAGTCTCCAAATAATCAACTTTACCAATACCTAATTATAGAGTGATCTACTATTTTTTCAATTTTATCATTTGTTTTGTTATGATATTTACATTTTTATTTCTGCAATTATTATAGAATTATTATTATTATTATTATTATTATTACAATTGAAATTTTTTATTGTTTATCTGAGTTTCTACTGTAATGTAAATGCCACGTGCAGACGTGCTTCACAACTGAACAAGGCTTTATACAGAATTGGTTAGGAAACAATGCACAATCAAAGTTAACTATGGTACCTAGCTATAACGAAGGTTCTGAGAAAATATAGTGTTCCAATGAAATGAGAGATCTTAGCAGATTCGTCATGTAAATAGCGCGATGCATTTCTCTTATAATGAATAAATTATCTCCCTTAATTGATATACCTGATTCGTTTTCAGATATCTTATATGAAGATTAGTATTAGACAGAAAGTCTTAAAGCCTCATTAAATGCTAACTGTTGGAGATTAGTGTTGCTTGACTTTGCAGTCACATTTTTTCCTTGATTTTAGATAAGCAAAGATACATCTTTTTTACTTAAAGAAGATTATTTTGGGGGAACAAATAGCATCAGACGAAAAATGTTTGCTTGTAGTATATTGAGTGCTAATTGATAAGTAAACATTTTGTCGGTTTCAAAAACAGATTTGGAGTGTTCTTGTAACATTTTTTGTAAGCAGAAATAAGAATGGAAATTTTGTGGTTTTAAATGGACTTAAGGACAGTGCCCACTATTGTTACTGCGCACATTTTCTGCGCATGCCAAGGTAGTCGCGCGCGACGCGAAAGAAATGCGCAACACGCAGGATACGTGGACTGGTTTTGTCTCCGCCAAGTCTGGAAGGTTCTAGTTATTTCTTGAGGAAAAGATGTGTCGTTTTTCAACAGGTGAAAAATAATTTTTATTTACCTTGTCAGTTCTTTGAAAACCCATGAAGTATGCGCATGTTGCTATTTCCCCTTTATGGTCGATCTTACCAAACATTTTATAGTCAAACAAAAGTCAATTCTAAAACATCAAAAGTTATTGCTTCGAGATGTTACGCTTGGAGCTTGGGTATTAAACAATCCCTTAATAGGTAAGGATCAGTAAATCAGAAGGAAAATAGCTCTAAGTCCTCCGCTTAATCGAGAAACTGCAAGCTTACCTTTCACTCAGGTCCTTCGCGTTTTATCGGCTAATCGGCTATAAACACTTTCCCGAATATTTCTTTAATTTTGTAAGATTTTATGTAATTATTCAGCAGAAGATAGACTTAAAGCGTTCGAGTACATACTGATGTCCGTTTTATTGAGAGTCCGAGGCTTTTATTTGTCGAACAAACAAGAAAAACTATCACAAGATTGCTTGGATTGTTGAGATCGCAGCTTCACAAATAGTTGCGGACCGCAAAGGAAACGCTTTCATCGCGGAGAAAATCGTAGAAAATTGTTACGCTTTTTAGTATTATCATTGTTATTTAAGCATTTTGGCAGTACTAAGCATTAAAATTATTGACTCATGGGCAGCTTGTCGTGTAGATAGTATTTCTTAAGGTTCAATTTCACGCCAGACATAATCTGGACATTTAGACATAGCTGCCATTTGGCTGTTTACGAACTAAAGATGGAAGGTAAATAAAGTATTTCCATTCTAAGACTTTCTTAGGTTTAACAGACACTGTTAAGCCTAAAATTAACATTTAGGAACCAAAAATAGTGAATGAACATGACACAGAATGCTACAGTAAAAAAATCACAACGAAATATATAAAATGATCATTATAGCCCAGTGCATTATGACGGTACATAAACGCATTCGGTACAACTACTTTCGCAGTATTCAGCTTTTTTAAAAGAGAGCTCATGATCATGTATGGAACTTGAGTCTATATATGCAAATAATTTATGTGATATGAAACTTGTGGCAAAGCCCGAAAGAGATAGCGCAAAGCACAGACATAAGCTCATTGAATGCATGCACGGTTTAATAACATATTCGATTGAGGTACCCGGTAAAATGATAAAAAACGATAGAAGGTTTACAATCCATATTACATCTACAGTTAAAAAAATCTTGAGGACATGTACAGGTAAGCAAACGATTGAAGGAGTACCTGTCTAAGAGTCTCTGTCGACTATTTTCCACTACAGTACAGTAGTTTGTTTACAGCGCCAGCGTTGCATCTTGAGCTCGACATACTACTCTATGTGCGCTGGAAGTAATCTTTAATTCCTTCGAGATTGCTCTTTTCCAAAAATTTTAGTTAAATTTTTGAGACGGAGAAGCTCCAGTTGAATGAAATAGCATATTTGTTTTCCTTATGGTCCATGAAATGTCCTGCTTCACTTTCTGTTTTTGCTCTCTTTCGTGGGTTGTTGTTCTCTGACTGTCGGCCATTGTGGATATCCCAGAGTACTCCGCGTTGAGTGAAGCAATAGTGAAACTGACCAGGGAGGGGATAGGAAAAATTGTAAATAGCCCCCAAAACGATTAAGTTAAGGCCGAAACCAACCAATTTAACTTCTAAAAACGCGTGGTAACCCCTATTTTTTATCTTACCAAATGAAAGTAATAAGCCTACTCAGCAAACGATCAATTTTTGGTTCGGGGAAAATGTCGTTTACACTATTTTTAAGGCAAACGCGTGGAGAGGGGTAACTGCTGACAACTTCCCAGTTGTGCTGATATTTCAAAAAAAGGCGTATAAAGAGCAGTTGTTATGTTATCATTTGTTGCTTATTTTGAAACCTTGTTGCAATTATCATTGCATTTGTGCCAGTTCACGTGTACACTCCGAAATTTTGGGAAAAATAACTTTTTATCATTTTTCTAAAAAATGCCTATTCAGCGTTTTTCTCCATATTGAAGCGCAGTTATCTCTGAAAAATGCGTGGTTACCCCCAGTTTTCTTTTTGGATTTCAATAGCCCCTGACATGATCTACTTGTCTCACATAGTCATTATCTGGGAAAAAAATACTTCCCATTAGTGGGCACCGTCCTTAAGTGCCTTCGTTTGCTCTTCATATTGAGTGATAGATTGTCATACCTGTACCTATTAACAGGGAAGCAATACTTGTTAACAATTAGTCCATGCAATTTTCGTCAGAAATTATCGAGAATCGAGAATCATATTTGATCTCAATAGAAGATGGCGGCTATTCCTGTGTTAGCGTGTAAACTATTTATGTGTAATCGATCTAATAATGACGATTTCTTACCTTACACTCTCATTTCATACATTACGTTTATGTTGCCTCAAATGTTTTTCCAATGTGCAGCAATTCATTTTCTTGCCTTTTAGATGTACGAACCATGCTTGATTATATCAGGGTTCTATTCAGTTTTTGTAGTTATCTCAGTTAACTCTTTCTTTCAATCAAAAGTGTGGCTAAGCATAACTCCTGGTTTTATAACTGATGTGGAAGCCGCCCGATGAATGATTGTCACATTTTCGGTGAGGAACTGGGGCTAGCATAAGTCGAGACTCGCGTTCCACCGCAGTCAAACGTCTAAGGCTGCTTGTTTTTGTTTGTTTGTTTCAGTTTCATTCGACCTCTTTTACCAGTTAGTTTAAATATGGACAATTAATTCGCTAACGTAACTATCGTTTCATTTTTCTGAGTACTTTGACTTTTTTCGTTTTTAAACGCAGGTGACACTACACTATGGCTTCGGTTGCCAAAAACTAAAAACTGTTTTTTAGTATACTTAAAAAAGTCTAGTAAACTAACAGGGTATTGATAATAGCTTAAACTTTCAAAGCTAAAGAAGCAAAAAACAGCCAAAGTACAAACCTTGGCTTTGAACCTTACTTATTTGAGCTTTTGCAAATTTCTCTCTCAGTTTGACCCCGGTGAAGACCCCGCGTGGAGTGACTTTTTCATTTGTCGCCCCTTTAGTCGTGACTGAAAAGTACTTACAAGTTAGTGCTGACAGCGTGATTATTGTTTTCACACAACATTTTACGATTTAACAGTATGCTTAATTATTTTTGATGGTAATATTATTGAGAAGTTTACTTTTAACGTTTAATTAAGACTTTACGGATCGGAAATTCGTACTGTCTAAAGTAGGTAAATGGTACAGCCAAATTGACTTGCCAAGAGAAACTTCTGGAAGCAATGGGACATCTAAAAATAAAAATCTTAAAGATTTTTTTCACACAGATCTAGACTACAAATGGGTTAATTTATCTTTCTTAAAGTTATTTTACACGCTGTGAATTCACTGAATTAAGGACTACAAGGTATTAAATTAGTTGTCTATGAGCTTACTTACTTGCCGTAAGTGCTTCAAGATAAACCATCAGTGAATTTCTTTAAAGCACTTGCCTAAACTCAATCAGTTTTTTTTTCAGACGAGGTTTGTGTTTTTTTTTCTGACGAGAAAGCAAATCTCAGATCTACCAGCCATTGGCAATCAAACACACCCTAGTAGATAAACTAGCCTGATCAGTAGTCAAGGGCAAATTTACCCTGAAATAAGACTTGGAGCAGACCGCGTATTTCCTATGCCAAACTGGTAGAATGGATAGGTTTTGAATTAATATGCTTTTTCAAGGTTTTTCGGGTCAGTCTGGGTGATGTCCGTCTTAATTAAAAGCCTGGTAAGCATAGTTTATAGAAAACCGTGGGAGACCTGGATAAACTTCAACGACAGTAAATCAAGTTGAGTAATTTAATGCTGTAAAATTTTGTTAATATCTTTTAAAGCAATGCGGTAAAATGCAAAACTGAGTTTGAACCAAAGATTTAGTCCGAAGCTTTTCACTCAGAGCAAATCGCTTGTTGAATAATAGCAAGAAACAAGGGATGAAAATTCAAATGGGACATATTTTTAACGGTTTACTTACTAGCTCTGCTACATTCTGTAGTTCAGTGCTTCAAGGGATTTAATTCGACATTCCAGGGTTAGATTGAATGTGATTCTTGAGATAGGTACGCTTACGCAATAATCAGTGGAACATTTCCCTACTAAGTATATTCCGTTTTGTTAAGTCACGTTCAAAAGAGAATATTACAGGTAATGAATATTCTTATTTGCTGCTGACAGGTAATGAGGGGCGTTACAAAAGCAACAAATAAATTTTCATATCGTGTTAGTTATTTAAATACTGTATTTGGGCCATGCGATGAAAGCAGCTGCTACTGACATCAGATTTTTCGTCAAGCGATAAAACAGCGAGGCAGTTTGTTTACAACGGTCAAGGAATAGTCTGATGCCCAAGCTGAGCGTTGCATTGCTCACGTGTTTAATGTCATGTTTTAACGCCTCGAAGGGAGAAGATTAAAAAAATGAATCGCTTCATTCGGTACCGATAGCTAATGAGGGTCTTACAAAACAGAATTCCAAGTAAGAAAATGTTAATACCTTTTTCATTATTTTAACACCATATCTAGGCACGAAATGAAGAAAAGGATGTGTTAAGAAGCGAAGAAAATTTTTTGCAGAAGCAAATTTCAAAACTTTTGGTGCTTATTTTAGGTTCGAAGTGCAAGGCTAAGTTAGATAGAGAGTTGTTAACGCGGGACAACCTTCACACTTAACTTGCTTAGGCGGCTTCTTTTGAACTATGCACAACAAAACAGTAATTAAAAAATCAGGATAGCTGGTATTCAGCCGGCCGCTCAAGTCCAATTGTATTATTATCATGATTCTTTTTACTCAGCTGCTTTTCGCAGCCTCGGCCGAATCAGCCGTAAAATAGTTCAGCTTGATGAGATCAATGGTTAATTTCACCGAAAAAGATTATTTAAAACGTTAATTTTTTTTCAGTTATCTCAATGGATTGTAATGCGTAATGGTTAAATTACCGTAGTTTAATCGTAGATTCCTCACAGTCTCCCATGTTGGAGGGCCATGAATTTCTTAGCTCCCAGCTTTCTTTAGCAAAAAATGGCATTAGAAGGTAACGAACAAAGATATTATCTTTATCATTAGCATTCTTTTCTCTTGTTATTAGAACATCTTGCTTATCTTTAAAAGTAAAATGGTTTTACAGAAAAAAAATTCAAATAGGTCGAAATTCTTCTTGTTGGGGCATATTTTCACATGGACTTTTTACGCCAAGACACTGGAAAACAGGCTGCGCTGCAATCGATTCATTAATCAAATTCCTTCATTATGATTTGGACTTCGATGTTCAATTCGACAAAAACTAAAAAAAGAATTAGAAATAAGTGCAACTTAACTAAAAACCCAAGGGAATATGAATATGATATGCTGCTATGAAATGTAGGGCCGGGAAGTCCCGTCCCTTGAGTTTGCTGCCCAATAGCTAATGCACTTTGGTTTTGTAACTTAATCAACAACTGCAGGATCTCAATTTTCCGGCTATTTTCTACATTCCGCTCGGGCAGCATAGATTTCTCCCATCAGAAATATTAAGAAATTTTAACTAGACCATGCGTGGAATAGTTTTAACCGCCAACCAATCACATTTCTTTATCTTACATATCATGTTTTGTCCAGTCAGTATGGAGAAATTATTTTCCTGAAAAAGTTATTATCCTCTACAGCAAAATTAATCAAACTCCTTAACGGTAGCTAGCAAAGGGCTCCGGTTTGATTTCAAATCCATGATAAAAAACTCTAAGCGGAACTGCGTGAGGCCAAAAAAGAAGAAACCTTGTTTAAATTTGCCTTCAGGGAGTGGTTTGGCCGCCAAGGCGACACACGTTACTTAGTTCTTTATTCATGCACCGAAACAGAATTAACTCTGCGATTCTTAGTATAATTCTAAGATGTGTAAGGGCACGTAAGAAATAAACTGGAGAGAAATTATATGGTGGGTGTATTTCGCGGTGTAAATTATTGTATTTTTTGTGTAGATTCGAGTTTCATGGTAATATTTTAAGAATCAATCAACAGAGAACTAAAAATAGCATAGAGAAAAGGGAAAATGATGTCTCCATCGTCAAGCTGCTGAACAACGGATAATGACTAACAATTTTTTTCCTGCTCTTAGAGAAAATTGCTAAACTTTTTTCTAACTGCGCAGCTTATTTTCAGATAATATTTATTTGTTTCTATTTCCAGCAGGTAATAAGCTGATAACGACGGAGCTCAAGTGTCGACAGGTGCATAAATCAATATTAATATGAACTGATTTTATTCGAATTCCCAGCTTCATGTTAATGATATTAGACTCCTTTACCTCCAGTGGATTAAACGTGCAAATTGAGCGGTGATAGAATCTGTTCCGTAGTACATTAAATATTCTCTCTTAAATGATAGGTTAATGAAGACAGAGAACTTCTTTCAATTGATGCTAGATTAGTAGATTGACAATACCAGACTATTTGGGTGTTTTCAGTCGGATTTTGCACGCAAGGGCTTAGCAAAGGTTGGTTAAAAGAACTCCTCTGATTTTTCAAGTTTTCAAATTTGCATGGCAGCTTTTATATCATTCACGTACGGTTTATAATAAGAGAATGACAGAGTGGTATGATAATATAAAGAAAAGAAAAGCTGCTAGTCATCAATAATTCACACTTTTTGGTTTTGTAGGTAAAATCAAGCTAAACTTCTTCTAATTTACCCGCCATCTTGTCTGTCTTTCACCTGCATTCAAGCACAGAAGTTCAAGCTGGCAAAAGAAAAGCACTTTGAAGTGGTGATGCATCTTACATTTATCTTCGTGAACACATTGATCTTCCTGATTTATCCAGGTAACACAGAAAACGCAGTTTCTTTGAAGACGTGTTATTTTGAAGTGCATTTAGATGTTGTGTTTATGACTTTCTATTAGATTATCCTTTATACGTTAGAAATTAGCGTTGAGTTTATAGTAGCTTTCGTTGACAAGGTTTAACTTAATTGATTTGGCAAGAGAAATAAGTTTTCTTGAAATAGGANGTAGTACATTAAATATTCTCTCTTAAATGATAGGTTAATGAAGACAGAGAACTTCTTTCAATTGATGCTAGATTAGTAGATTGACAATACCAGACTATTTGGGTGTTTTCAGTCGGATTTTGCACGCAAGGGCTTAGCAAAGGTTGGTTAAAAGAACTCCTCTGATTTTTCAAGTTTTCAAATTTGCATGGCAGCTTTTATATCATTCACGTACGGTTTATAATAAGAGAATGACAGAGTGGTATGATAATATAAAGAAAAGAAAAGCTGCTAGTCATCAATAATTCACACTTTTTGGTTTTGTAGGTAAAATCAAGCTAAACTTCTTCTAATTTACCCGCCATCTTGTCTGTCTTTCACCTGCATTCAAGCACAGAAGTTCAAGCTGGCAAAAGAAAAGCACTTTGAAGTGGTGATGCATCTTACATTTATCTTCGTGAACACATTGATCTTCCTGATTTATCCAGGTAACACAGAAAACGCAGTTTCTTTGAAGACGTGTTATTTTGAAGTGCATTTAGATGTTGTGTTTATGACTTTCTATTAGATTATCCTTTATACGTTAGAAATTAGCGTTGAGTTTATAGTAGCTTTCGTTGACAAGGTTTAACTTAATTGATTTGGCAAGAGAAATAAGTTTTCTTGAAATAGGACGACCGAACCTTCTGCTTTTCTACTATTTGTCATCTCGATGTGTCTGTAATATCACCACAAGTATGCAAATTACGCAAAATATTTTCTTTACGGCTACGAAAAAACATCTTTATTGATTTCTGAGCATTTTTAAGAAAACTTTCAGCTTTTATCGTGTAGCTTTACTGAGACGAAAATAACAGAAAACCCTTGCCTTGCGAATGAGAGCACTTGGCATGAGATACATATTCGAAAGCTGCCTGACTGTTAAGCTTTCAAATGATGTTCTAAAATTTAATCTCAATATCTAAGTTCATTGCGATTGTAAAAGTTACTACATTTAATTGAGAAGTTTGAACAAGATTCTGTTCCACGAGCCATGTGAAATCTCTGTTACTCATTTCTGTTATGCTAAGAGTGAGTTAGGGGGTAACAAGCAAGAAAAGTCACTCTTTTAGCTTAGTTAAGCAGTATTTTACTGAAGGGATCACAAGCAGCTTCGGTAAACTTTATTAACGCAAATCAAAGAAAAAAAGTAAAAATTTTGATCGACCAGATATGATTTTGTTTTATAAGACAATGTATTGGCGGTATTAATGATTTAATTTCGTAGTTCGTATATCTGGGAATCAGAATCAGAGATAATCTCCCATTGGCTGAAATTTGCTCGCAGTTGCATGAAGAAAATTAAAAATTCTATTAGACACGAGAAGACAGAAATTTAGGTAAGGTGGTTTGTACTTTTTAATTTTTTATTTGAAAGGTAAAGCAATTAAAAATAGAAATTTTGGACAAATGGAAAGGGAATTCAATTGTGCTTTGAGAATGTAGTTGAAAATCGATAACTGTTATTTTTCGTTCGGTAGGGGGTCAAATTGGTTAATGAAAATTCCTGCTGTTTTTAAACTTTTCTTTCAAGAAGCAATTCATGCAAACCATTGATATTCCGGTAACAAAGCAAACTTTGACATTCTTTCTTTGGAAAAGTAATTTGTTTAATTTTTAAGCTGTTTCAGAAGATTGATTATTTTTCTTGATGGATTGAAATTTGTGCAAACATCTATTCTGATGGATGATTGCATCCCAGCAAAAACAGTGTGTCGCCGTCTATAATTTGACAATATGCAGGTGGCGAACCGATTTTCACTTAAAAACAACAAGGGAAACCCTGGCTTATTTATGTTTCAAGTTTCATTACTGAGAATCGAAGATGCTGGCGATCATAAGATCGTTATTACTAGCAGATCAGTTCTGTTTATGGAATGTCAGCAAACTTAGTGTTTTTGTTATAAAATTTCATTTTTTTGTCGGATGCAATATGAAAAGATATTTACTCTCCTTTCGGAAAAGTTATTTTGCGCTACTTTAAAATAATCATTTTACTAGACGCAATTCTTTTTTAAAATAGAAGTCAAAATAAGGTAAATAAGTAACAGAGAAATCAGGGGCGGATCAAGGAATTTTTTTAGGAGGGGGTGCACTCGTCTCTTGCTCTACTTCAACACCAATAAACCACATAGTTTTTTTTTGCAGAATACCAGTTGTATTAGAAAACCGCAGGTCATCTCGGTTGGGGGGGGGGGGGTGGTGCGCACCCCCTGCACCCTCCCCCTAGTTCCGCCCCTGGATTTGTCTGTCGCATTGACCGTACATTGTCCTGTAAACCGCTCAATTGTTGGTTTTGTTTGATTCTTTTTGAAAGCCAATTGTACTTCTCTAAAAATCATTTTTCTGTGCCCGGCAACCATTTCAATTCACTTAAAAAGTTGACATGTCGCAGTTGGTATACTGTCGACTGTAATGATTATTTACGCTACTGGGGAAATTTTTCAAATTACTCAAATTACCTCGCGGGAGTGTGGCATGTTTCCGTTTAATTTTTTGTTTTAGTCTATTTTTCATTTGAAACGAGACCACCCAGTTTTTACTTTACCTCAGTCAAGGCATTGATCGTGAGCTCATAAATTTCTTAGTTTTTGAAAAAGAAATGGAGAAATGGAGAGCTTATATATGGCAGTATGGCACAATTCAATTATGTAACTATTTAATTGGTACGTACATGTACAGAGTTCCACGAAGGCACCAACATGGCGCGGTCTCCATATTGATGCCTGTATTATGGAACTACTTTTTGAAAAATAACTCATGTAAAAGAAATCATATAAAACTGAGACTTGGAAAGTATTTTAACATATTAAAATTCTGTTACCGTATCATTTTAGATTTCCTCGCCTTTTTGGTGTTTTGTTATTAAATGTAGCTGTGAAAAAAAGCAATAATTGGTTCAAAAAGTACAAAGGCAACTTTTTCTCGAAAAACTCTTCGTGGCCTTCATTTTCACGGTCTTCTGATATGATTAATAAGCAAGATGCCGATTTTGAAGTTGCGACACGGATTGGAGCATGACGCAACATGGAACCATACGACGTCATATTTATAACGCCAACTTAGCGTTGATTATTAGACATTTTTGATGCACTATTGGCACACTAAAGCCTCCCAATTTCAGTCTAACCTGAATGCAGTCACGATATATTAATCGTTACTTTGAAACGTAAAAAGAAGGAGAATTGGTGTTCATTAAATATTAAATATCTACGCTAAATATTACCTCCACCAATAGGTGTTTTCTAATAAGTTGTTGTTGTACTGATCAATTTACAGCCAAAGGACTATCTGACGTGGCTTTTAACGCCAGTGTAATTAGTGAACCTATCACCAATACTACTGTCAGTGATGGTAAGCCCAATTTTTTTCTAAAATTGTTATTTAGTGTTGGTGTTTTTTGTGTGACATACGTATTTCATCTATTCCAATTCCCAAATATTCCTGCGTTTTCAAAAAAGTTGAATAATTGACTCTCGAAACTATCTTAATATTATAAACAATGCCATAGCGTTGTAACTGATTTTCGCCTTCAAATTGTGTCCAAGTTGCAGACGCGACGTTGGTGCAAGACGATGATGATGAACTCCGGTTGGTTAGGGATCTTTTCGAACACTACGACATAAACGTGCGTCCTACGGTTGAGAAGGACTTGCCGATTGTAGTCAAATTTGGGATTGCTTACACCCAGATTGTCGATTTGGTAATTTGATTTGTATTATTTGCCTCTTTTAAATAATATATTTGTGGTTTGATTCGTCTATTTTAGCCCACTGTAACCGTCCAAGATTTCCCTAAAGACACCTGAGCTATACTTAATGATGTTTAACAAATCGATTTTCTATGGTCTACACAGACTCTTATAGACCATAGAAATGACGTTATTAAATTTTCAAAACTCAAGTGGAACCACGAGCCGCAGGCGAGTGGTTTCACTGCAAAGTTTTGAACATTTCATGGCGTCATTTCTATGGTCTATAAGAGTGTAGTCATGGAAAATTGTGGTCGATTTGTTTTTTACAACAACATTTATTTTTCTACGAAAAACCAAAAATCAACATTCCATTTTCTTAGTCAAGCAATTACTAAGAGGGTATTATTATTAAGCGTTGTACATAATGAACTCGCATTATTATCTAGTTGGTTTCTCGGCCCTTATAACGTTGAACGTGAGACCTCTACCAGATCCTTTTTCTATGTTTGCTGTATTTATTCCCTTTTATTTTTCTGCTAGTCAGGGTAGCGTTTTTTGCCCATAACGTGGTAAAGTACTATCTCGTGTGCTTCATTTCATAGATCGAAAAAGACCAAGTCCTTGTAAGCAATATCTGGGTCAGAATGGTGAGTAACATATATTTATATGCTGCTAAAGTGTACACTGCAAGACCCGCGATATTTGGTGTTGCTGGACTGAAAATAATATCGAATTTCCCCTGGGTTTTTCCCTTAATCTTTTTACAGTCCGCTTTGGTCCTCCTTTGCAAGCCACTGTCCATGCTTCCACCTTAATGGAATTGCAGGTCTTTCAGTCTTTAAAAAAATTAAAGAACACAGTCAATTTCAACAAGAAATGCTCAAATGTAATGATAACATTTCTTGAGTGTAACAGCTCCATATAAAAGGATCCTTGTCATTGTTTTTCTCTTTATCTTATCAGAGTTGGCACAACCATCTATTAAGGTGGAACTCCTCAGAGTATGGTGGAATCAAGACGATTAACCTCAACCCGTTGAAAGTTTGGCGTCCTGACATTGTCCTGCATAACAAGTAGGCCAGTCAAGAACCATTCTCTGAGACCCGGGAGCAGTCAGTCGAGTGGGGCTGGAGAAAAAACCCCTCTGTCAAATTTACCGAACGATTCAAGCTGCCTTTTTGCAGGAATTTTCCTTGTTAAGGGTGCATTCTGGTTGTTTCTTTGGGGAACTAATAGGGTTGATTTGAGAAGTAAAGAAATTAGGGTAGAATTGGTATAAACATAAACCAGTTAGTCAGCTAATGATCTCAGGGGCACCTTATAGTGGTGGTGAAATATCTGGTATTTTCCATAATTTTCAACTGACATCCCCACACCATTTCTTTTCATTCAAAACATTCTCACACATTCATTGAACCAATAATTACAACCTTATGGGGGAGCCATTTTTGATTGAACTATATTGTGGCTAGGTTTGAAAGAAAAAGGGCAGAAATAGTGAAAAACAAGGCTTTTGACCAGAATCCACCCTTGATATTGAAATCCGGATCTTGTCGCTGATGAGGAAGTTCAAAAATACCTTTGCTTAGCGATATACGTTAAACTTTCCTTTTTATATGCTTTACAGTCGCTGAGGTGATCAAAATTTCTCATCGCTCCTAGTGAAGAGGGCATATTGCTGCGGAAATTCGAATTTTGAAGTCGATCAAAGCTAACAAGAAAATGTATTTTAAATCTTCCCCGTGTTAAGTATGGCTCATTCCACCCGGCAGTTCTGTTCATCATAAAATCGTTCATGTTGTTGTGGTTATTAATTTTAGTGCTGAGGAGACACTTCCAAGCGGAAACCTTTATAATTTCAAAAACCGAATCATCCTGACATCTGATGGAGGATGTACATGGTACGCTCCCACAATTCTTCGCAGTGGATGCAACATCGACATAACCTACTTCCCTTTTGATGATCAGTTGTGTGAGTTAAAGTTCGGATCTTGGACTTACAACGGTTTTGAAGTAAATATTGTGCAAATGAGTGACAAGGCAGATCTCAAGTTCTACATGGAAAGCTCTGAGTTTCAGCTCATATCTGCAAAAGCTCAAAGAAACGTGATGACATACAGGTAAATCCTTTCTTGTAAGTAGTGGAGAATTTAAAAAAAAGTTCTTGAAGGCATAGGGCGAAAATTACCCTCCTTTCTTTATTTAATGTAAAAGAGTAGTTTTAGTTGTAAGCGGACAGAGCTTAACTTTGACTTTTAGACATCACAAGGACAAGACAAGAAAAAGTTGCGTAACGATAAATGGTTTATTTGCCATTTTTTTGTAACCCATAAGTGCTGTCAAATAACTGCTATTACTGCTTGAAGGCAGGTTACCCGAGTAATGCCTATAAACTTTGGGCCGGTTTTTCAGTTTTGTTAACTTTGTTATTAATATATCTATCAAACTGTGCTTATCGCAAAGAATGTCACGAAAGACTGCAGCCCAGGTTAGGACAACAGTCACCTCCTCATATATATTTATTTAAAAAAATTAACATTTGTACTTACATTTAAACTTACATTTACAAAACGTATTTTATTAAACCTTGGTCTAGTTTACTCGGGCTCTCAGGTGGGGAGGGAGGGGTTCTCCTTATAATGGCCACAACGGGCAGGCCCCACCCGAAAAGGGCTCCTTATTCAGGCCTCAGTGTATTTGAAAGAATTGGGATCTTAAGAGTTGAAGTATTTGAAAGGTTAAGAAACAAAGTCTGTTCGGCGATTCTTCATGGACGCACCAGTCCAAGGGTTTAGAAAGGGAAAGCAGTGTTTTTACGTAACTATGTACGTGAACGGGGTACCATAAGGTGATGGGTTGGACCTCGAGGCGGAGCTTTCCCGTATAAACCTTTGTTAAGTATCTTTCTCGGGCTTTCTCTTTGGTTAAACAGCAGGCCCTCTTGCTGATTGCATGCATCCAAAATGAAACGGAATTTGTAGTCGACTGTTAGAAAAAACTGTCTCAGTGATAATAAATTACAAAACACAACCCCTTACTTACAAAACAACGACAGTTCATACTTTTCCTTTATAAATTTGCACTAATGTATACTGCTTCGGTCTTAGGTATGATCTCTGCACTATAAGGAATTGTTGTTACTAATATATTTCGAATTTGTTCAATCTTGCAAAGAAGTGTTTGATAGTTGATTTATTTTTGAATTTTTCTCAGTTGATTCTTTGCTTGTATTACTTTATTGTCAAACACAGCTGCACTGGCACATAAATAGAAGCATTTTACAATATAATGTTTTGAATCATTTTGAAAGTTTATAACAAGGGTTAAACTAAACAGAGTCACTGCACGTGGATTCCTCGACACAGCACCGTGAATTGCACACTGCACAGGGCATGCAAATGAACGGTAACGTATATGTTCTATTACATACAGCTGTTGCCCGGAGCCGTACCCTGACGTCACATTCAATCTTCATCTTCGCCGAAAACCGGGGTTTTTTCTCTACAATATCATCATTCCTTGCTTAGTAATAGCAGCACTAGCAGTGCTGACGTTTGTGCTGCCACCAGAGATTGGCGAGCGAGTGACGTTGGTGATCGAATCATTCCTTGCGCTGTCATTTGTGGTGCTGATGGTGTCGGATAGCGTTCCTGTAACCTCCGACAGCTCGCCTCTTCTTACAAAATTCTTGCTTATTTCCATGGTGGAAATTGGATGCGCACTTATTTCAAACTGCATCTCGCTGAATCTCTACAGAAAGTATCCGATGCCACAGTGGGTGCGCGTGGTTTTTCTTCACTATTTGGCCCGCTGCTTGTGCATCAAAACAGGACACCCAAGAGATAACATAAACACTAAAAAACGTAAAGGAGGACTCACTGATCCACTGGTCGAAGCCAGAAAGCTCTCAGGGGCAAAACTGCTGGGCTCCCCCACAGGATCTGCAGTAAAAAATTGCGTCATCCCACATCGAGCCAATCAAGACACAACAACCTTGTTGACAGAGGGACTATCGGAGCTAGCACAGTTTGAGATAAATAAAGATGAACACCAGGCGAATCGCCATTTTTGGATCTTTGTGTCGCGGGTTGTTGATCGCCTGTTGCTGTTGTTATTTTCCATAGCATTTGTATTTTCATCTTGCGTCATATTTGCTCAAGTGCCAGATCATTACAATTTACTCATATAAAATTATCGTGTGAGTTCTACCAAAGCAATAACATGGAGATCGTGATTGGATCTGTAGTACAACTGTCCCCCCGGAAAGGAGGAGTGTAGATATTAATGTTCTCTTTAAGGCCACTGAAAGCCCTTAATGTCCAGCTTTAGATAACATTCTCTGTTTGGCTAGAACAGTCTGAAAGATAAGAAATTGGCAAATTACTGATGTAATTTGTTTACGAGTGACTATATTGTGTACAGCGCAATTCATGGACATAAACTTCAGAATTTCAGTGTTAAAACGAGTGAAGTGTGCATGGGGTGTATTCCACGACTACGCACAATTTCAAAAGTCTGAATTGTTGAAATGTAATGTAAAAACCCCTTTATTTCTTAAAGGAAAATAACCTTTCATCGACTTTGTGCAGTTCGACTTTCTTGGATTGACTTTCAATCCTTTCCATTACTAGTAAAATATGAAAAGTTGACGTACTATTCTTGTTAATACAGTACTGATAGATATAAATTGTGACCCAAATTACATTCAGTGTTGGGCGTGTTTACTTAGCTAGAGTGCTTGGTAGATATTTTTTCTAAGCAACGTTACGACTACTGGAAATGCGGTCGAAAACGTGTCGTGGGTATCTTGTTTAAACTCTCTTACAGCTAAAAGGTTACACACAAAAAAAATGGGGAAAAAGAGAAACAGAAAAGAAAGGCAAGGTATATAATGAATGACAAATATTTGAGACAAATATTTAAAACTTGAGTACAGATATTGGAAAACATTTTTTTTTTTAAATTATTAGTCAAGAATAAATAGAAACGATATCAGGCCGCTGTGAAATCTAGAGGTCAAGGACAAATAATTGAGAAGGTATCAAATAGTTTTCTCGGCGGTTAACTTTCTAATTCTTTTCCCTTTTTCCGTTTGCTTGATAGTCTGGGATTTTATATTCCTTCAACTTACACAGACAAATTATGCTAAATGTTTTCCCAATCAAATAAATCATATTTCTTACATGAAAGAGGCTTCATTGTTAATTCAACAGTGAAAGTTTGACGTAATGCGTATTCAGCTGTGTGGGGTTTATTGATTTTGTTATACGAGTTTAAACCATACGATGTTGGACTCCCAATACACCTTATTATCTCTTAAAGTGCAATGCATAACTCATAAGTCATAACATAGTTAAAACCCCTCCTACCATTGCAGCTGTTATTCTGCCAATGAAGTCTTCAGGAATTTGTTTAGTATTAAACTCGAAAGTAAAATGAAATTGCAATCGAAATGCAAAACACAGCTGGCGTCTTCGCAGCGGCTTTTCTCGATATTTCTGTTCTTGGTAAATCAGTATTAGACAGTCTATATTATATTATTGAAAACTACTCATCATGCAACGGTAACTTTCAAGCTATTTCAGTTGTAGTTCGAAGAGAAATCTAAGGCTCTATGACTACCCCTTTAAAAAAAAAAATAAAGGTATTCAGTCTTTACCTTGTTTGGGGTGAAAAGATCACTGTTGTTTTGATTTTGATATTTATAAAATGTTTGAACTTGAGTTTTTAATAATAAATGTCTTTAATAACTGATATGCACACTCCAAAATGTTTGAAGTTATTGGTCAGAGAATTTTATCAGCGAATTTTTGATCACTGTATTTTTTCGCCACTTGTACCTTGATGTGTTCAGTGTATTCTTATACTCAATTTTCCGACTAAACAGAAGTCACTAACAACTGGGAAAAAGTCACACACCAGGCAAAACATCGAGGCAAGACAAATCAATAAATGATATTTTTTTAGAAAACATTTTGCAAAAGGAAAGCTCCCTAAGTTCGGAAATGATCCATATGTAATTCAGCTCACTAACGTCTGGTCCTTCGCACTTCCACTTTGACTTTTCCATCGAGGTTAAGAGCTTTTAACTTGACTCCATGATTTTTCAGTATCCAGTTTCCTAGTGTATCAGGCGCCACCTTTCTTGATAATATATTTAATGGCTGGTATTCTTTACCACTTCCAAAATTTTTTTAAAGATAATTAAAATATACAAAATCCTATAATTCTTTCACCTCCAAAGTTTCTTTGTAATTAGAATATATCTGTTAATGTTAAGTGACTGTATGATTTGTTTTAGCAAAAGAGAGAGAATTTATGATATGGTTACCAGAAAAAAAGAAATTGAAGTGACCGTGCTTTTAAGGTCAGTTTTAGTGCTTTTGGTTTTCTTGAGACTTGCTAGATTAAGTGACCAAGAAACATGCTACAAAAACACGAGAATGAAAGAAGGTGCTCAGAACCCTTAATTTTCCCGCAAAAGAAAAAAAAAGTGAATAAAGAAGCCAAACGGTTCTGAAGTCAAAATTGGAAAACAGCGCGTGCAGGTCGATTGCCAAAATGAGTAAAAGTTGAATCGTACATATTAGAGAATTACTGTGACCTACGAGATGAAGAGACTTCAGTTGATAACAAGCAACAGAGACGGTCGACAATAAAGGCTCTCGGAACTCTTACGTGCAACCTTATTTAGCACATAAATGTGTTAAAGTCAACTTGAAAGAAGCGTGTGTAGATAGGTGATCAAACTTAATAAAATTTGTAGCTATCTATCAAAGTATTACTGAGACGTACCAGATGAAGTGACTGGATAACAAGATACAGAGACGGTCAACGAGTAAAGGCAATCGAAACTTTTACATTCAACTTCATTTAGCACATAAATGTTTTAAACTCAAATTGAAAGCAAAGCGTGCAGATAGGTTATTGGAATAAATAAAAGTTGTAGCTACATGTTAAAGTACTACTAAGACGACTTACCAGATGAAGTGACTGGATAACAAGCTACAGACACCGTCAACGATGAAGGTGCTCAAAAACTTTACACCGAAGTTTATTACATCGTGAACATACGCACTGTTAACCAGGGCCGACACGACGTTGCAAACAGAAAGGCGACTTGTACAGGTATGTTATTGACTTGCGATAACTTTGTAACATGTAATACTGACACTTTAGGAATACTCGAGGAAGAGCTTAAACAAGACGACCTTTTTTAAGAACGAAAAATTGAGTGACATGTAGACGTGCGCACCTCTCGCGATAGATTTTTCTTTATATTGAATAAATAATTTTTATGAATAGTTGATTCTAAAATTTTATCATACGGTGGCATAATTTGATGCTTTCCAATTAAATGTAAGTTTTGAGGTTTTGTAAGTAAAGGACAGGGTAGGGATGCATGCTAGTGTTAACGAACCAGCCTATGAAAACTCAGTCCTTCAACCTGCTGTTTTATGAGATCATTACAAATAAAATTTGAATGTTGATTCCCTCAATGAAACCATTTGTTCAATTAAGATTTAGTTATTCAACAAATTGTCGTCTGGTTTCTCTAGCAAAGCCACTGGGAGCTGGACGCTATGCATTCAATCATCAGTAGCGACTCCCTAGCATTCTCGGACAAAGCAACGCATTGAATGAAATTTTTTTGCTCTCTTCATTCTTACTGAGATTTTGCGTAGCACGAAAATAGTCGCTTTTAGTTGATGAAACGGAAAAAAAAGGAGGGGGACGGATAGGTAAATTATCGTACAAAGAACAATTATAGAGGTAAACCAAAAAAAATCAAATAAATCAAATCAAGTCCAGTCACTGGATCAAAAAATACAAGAACACTTTGATTATTTTTTCACATATCTTCTTTGTTTTTAAATCTGAAAAACTGAACCAAATTAAACCGAAATCAAGTAAAGAAGCCAAAAGTAAACCTTTACACGAGATATTTGAGAAGTAGTATGGCAATTAATTTCAATAGCCCGTGCTAACAAATCCAAAATAGTATATATTATGGTTACTAGATGACATTCCTTTCTTGGTATACTAACTGCCTCTTTTTCTTTTTTACTTTTCTCTCTTGTCTCTTGCTTTTAGCTGCTGTCCTGAGCCTTATCCTGATATAACGTTCTATATCCGCATGCGCCGTATTCCTGGCTTTTTCCTCTTCAACATCATCATTCCCTGCCTGGTCGTCACTTCTTTTTCTGTCTTCACTTTCGCTTTCCCACCGGAATTCGGCGAGCGCGTGACTCTTGTCATAGAAGCGTTCCTGACCATCTCTATCGTCATCCTCAATGTTGCCGGCAGTATTCCAGTTACCTCAGATGCTTCGCCCATTATTGTAAAGCTCTTGTTGGCCAACATGTTTCAGATAGGCTTTGCTCTCATTGCCAACTGTGTTTCTTTAAATATGTACAAGAAGACAGAGATGCCGCAGTGGGTTCGAGTGTTGTTTCTCCATTACCTTGCGAGAATGCTTTGTATCGANAAAAAAAATCAAATAAATCAAATCAAGTCCAGTCACTGGATCAAAAAATACAAGAACACATTGATTATTTTTTCACATATCTTCTTTGTTTTTAAATCTGAAAAACTGAACCAAATTAAACCGAAATCAAGTAAAGAAGCCAAAAGTAAACCTTTACACGAGATATTTGAGAAGTAGTATGGCAATTAATTTCAATAGCCCGTGCTAACAAATCCAAAATAGTATATATTATGGTTACTAGATGACATTCCTTTCTTGGTATACTAACTGCCTCTTTTTCTTTTTTACTTTTCTCTCTTGTCTCTTGCTTTTAGCTGCTGTCCTGAGCCTTATCCTGATATAACGTTCTATATCCGCATGCGCCGTATTCCTGGCTTTTTCCTCTTCAACATCATCATTCCCTGCCTGGTCGTCACTTCTTTTTCTGTCTTCACTTTCGCTTTCCCACCGGAATTCGGCGAGCGCGTGACTCTTGTCATAGAAGCGTTCCTGACCATCTCTATCGTCATCCTCAATGTTGCCGGCAGTATTCCAGTTACCTCAGATGCTTCGCCCATTATTGTAAAGCTCTTGTTGGCCAACATGTTTCAGATAGGCTTTGCTCTCATTGCCAACTGTGTTTCTTTAAATATGTACAAGAAGACAGAGATGCCGCAGTGGGTTCGAGTGTTGTTTCTCCATTACCTTGCGAGAATGCTTTGTATCGACACTGGTTATCCCAAAGCCGATGTGAGGAAAACCAGACGAGTAGATGTCAGGGTAAGAAATAAAAAATTTCTGAATGAAGTTTGGGGTTTTGAGCATGTTACCAGTTCGCTGAACATCGGAAGAAAGGTCGATTGCTACCGTAAATTGTGTCAAGGTCTAGTCTCTGAGCAGTCGGAATTTTTGTACAAAACTGATGGGGTAGCACACAAGAAACGTGAGCCGAGAGGGACACCTGTTACCTGCTAAATAGAGAGAAGGAGTGTGACGTCACGTTACCTTGGTAACAAAGTTTTTAATTTGATCCTATGCTTATCAGTTCAATTTAATCATTTAAATGAAATGCCTGGAGGATTGAACTTGCTCTCAAATAGACTGAATAAATATGTCCATGAATGGATTAAACATGTTTCCGTTTTTGGATTGCATAAATATTTCTGTCAGTGATTGGATTTATTAGATATTTGGGTGATTGGATTGAACAAATATTTCAGAGATTGGATTCAATAAATATTTCAGAGACTGGACTAAATAAATATTTCGGTGATTGTATTGAATGAATATTACAGAGATTGGATTGAATGAATATTTTGTCATGATTAAATTGAACGGATAAACGTAGGATTAAATTAAATGCTTTTTGGATTCCTTAAACATATTTGGAAAATCAAATTAAATGGCATTATGATAAAATGATTGGATTGATTTATTTAATTTTACTACAAACGGCTTGCCTTACTAGGGAAGAGAGGTAGCCAGTTGGCCGATCAGTATTAAATAGGTTACAGGTTAGCAAGATAACTAATTGAGAAGCACAAATGCACACGCAAAAAGAAAAAAAGAAAGAGAAGAGGAAAAACGTAGCAGTCTAAAATAGTTAGATTTATATCTGAATACAAAACGTTGATAAAAGAAGAGCACACAATAGTTATGAAAACTAATAACAAGTTATATATTAAATTATAGAAGAAAAATGTTAAGACTTGGAAAGGTGACAGAATTTAACAAAAGACTAATTTACAGGTAATTTGGGAAACAACACAACTGCTAATAAGAATACATGTAACTAATAATCTTTGACAAGATCGTTTGTTACTGATTTCTCGAATTTTAAAATAGAGAAGGTCTCCCCCAAATTTGAGTTCCATGCTTTGAGGCCCTTACTAAATATTATGTTGAATGTTCCATAATTTTTCATTACTTTAGGTAAAGTATAGGACTTATTCGAGGCACTTCTTATTTTATAGTTATGTCTTTTATTGACTTGTGCGAAGAAAGTATCAAACACAGATGGTAGACGTCCATTGTGAAGTTTTTACATTAAGACTGCAACATTAAGAAAGACACGATCAGGCAGTTTAACAATATTAAGGTGTTTGAAAATTGGACTAGAATGCTCGTGAAATTTAGAGAAAGTCATCACTCGCACTGCTCTCTTTTGTAAAATGAACAAAGGCTGGTTAGAGGAAGATTTTATAGGTGATACCCCAAGAAATTAAACCGTAGGTTAAGAAGGGATATACCAGGGCATAATCAGTAGCTTATAATATAACCAGAATTTCTAAATTCACATAATAACGAAGTTTAGAAAGAATTCCAATATTTTGCTTAATCTTCTTAGCAATATGGCTTAGTTGACTTTTCCATGATAAATTAGAATCTGTTATAATACGTAGACATTTTCCGGGGTACTCTTGGTTTAAGTTTATGCCATTTAAAGAGAGTGTGATATGAAAGGGTAATTTTCGGTTTTGGGGGTGGAAAATGACAATTTTGACTTATCAATATTAAGTGAAAGTTTTTTAGCACTCAACCAAGTATGAATATTAAACTATTTCGTTATTTACATAGGACCATAGTTTGTTGAGATCCAAAAATTTTGCTACCATGGGAATGTGACGTAACGACTTCTCCTCTCTATTTAAAGAAAGCAACAGACTGCTTGCGGACTGGCTAGCGCAGGTCTGTTCAGTCAGGCATCAATGTCTGTGTGGGTTGGAAAGGTGGGTTGGTGAAATAGGATCTGAGCAACTTTTTTACCTAAGACACCTGCAGGGCCGGGTTGTTCAAAGGTCGGTTAAGATAACTCAGGGTTAGTCCGAAATTTGAATTTAAATATGAAAGCTTAAAACGCAATATCAGTTCAATTATTTTTGTCTACAACTTGATGATTGGACGCTCTTAAAAAATAAGACAAAAAATTTACCAGGAAAATGCTTTTGATCAAATCAAAAGAAACACGGAATAAAATTTAACCCCGGGTTAGCGCTAATCGCCCTTCCAACAACTGGGCGCTCGGGTTATTTAATCAACGGCCAGGTAAGAGTATCCAATGGCTTAGTTGAGTCCAATCTTACTTTCGGTCTGGCATCTACTGCTTTCCTGTTTTCAAGGTGGAGGAAACTGAGAAGAACTACATCAAGCTTGTAGGAGCTAAGCAGTTAAAGCCCGTCAATTTGACTCCAAGCAAGTTACCGTCGATGGCCATTAAACCCCCAACCACCCTTTCTAAACTTACGGAAGGTATCACCGAACTTGCAAAGAACTCTCTCAGGGAAGAGGAACATGAACGTGACAGGGAGTTTTGGATCTTTGCCTCTCAGGTCGCCGATCGGATATTCTTTATTGTTTTTGCAGTAGTTTTGATCTGTTCCACCACCACTATCCTTTCAGAAGTTCCCGACCACTATTCGGTAGAATAGCCGGAATACAGAATAATGCCATTAAAAAGTAGATTATCTAGGCTATACTAACATAAATTTCCGGGCTAACACAATCATACCCCGTCACAATCAGATGTATTGATAGCCTTCAAGTCTCAAGTAAAAGCTTAAACTAATTTTAACAGATGTATGGTTATTCAACCTTTGAGTTTGCGAATGAATATAAATTGTTTCTATTTGCATGTACCAATTCTAGATGCTACTGACTTTTCAGTTTTTTTTGGAAATCGAAGTTTAAAGTTTCCTTAAAATCTTTAAGAAATTTAAAAAAACAAGGGATATTGACAAGTCGATAGCTTAAAAAACTTAATTGTTCCTCGCAAATGTCAGTTTAGTCACGGTTTTGAAAACTGGCAATTTTGCAGCTTTTATTCCATGAGATTTAGTCTAAGAAGTTTCGTTGGGTAATGCAATGTAAGGTACATTGAGCATCCCAATGGAAAATCACCGAAAGCAGGAGCCCATTACCTCTCAGAGAGGCTGTCACTGATATCAGTGAAAGTGTTAACCCCTGCTCTTGAGAATAGACCTGTAACCCTTATTTTTTCCAAGACTGAGAAGAAAACGAGGATTTGTAACTTACCAATACTAAGACGAGGTCAGGTCATAGAGGTTTCAATACAGTTTTTCTAAGTGCTGCACACCGACATTTTTCAGTCGCCTTATATGTGTGATTTTATCCTTGTCCGAACGCTACAAAATTTTCACCAGAGATTGACTAAGAATTGAAGATTGTCAAACTGCAGTTTTGAGTAAAATCGATATCACTATGACAACAATAAACAAAAAACTTTGAGATCGATAAAAGCCGAATTTTGCGTGGTCTATACCTAGGCCTGTTACTGAAAATCCGACACCAAGAACTTGCAGTGCGGTGTTACACAAATAACCTCCTTGAAAAGTAAAGAAATTCTGTTCTGTATGTTTAAGTTCAAACAAAACGTAATTATATTTAAAACGCTATATTTTCAATTCCTGTGATAAATTGTTTAATAAAACGGTGTTCTAATAACCCAAATTAATTTAGACTAGTATATTTCAGTTTGAATTTTCTTGCGCTTCACTTGTATAATGTTAAACGTTGACAATTCTCACTGAAAAGTACAAATCATGGAGGTATGCCTTATGCGCATTAATCTGGAAAAATTAGCATAAGGTCAAAACAGTGAATGTTGTAACGTGGATTTATGGATGGTTGGTAGGCTAGGTTCGTCTTGAAATTTCGAGGTGTTGCAGTGAATCAGTCAGGGAGATCTCCTTAGAAAAGCTGTAGGCAAGCTTGCAGAGATCTTCCTGCTACTAGATATGTTTGCAATCTTAAATTACTGCAAGGAAGAAATGAGGTAGGGGCAAAATAAGTAAATAACAATTTAAATAAATTTATTTACGTTTGATTTTAATTCAAACTTACAGATTTTTTTACTTTTCACGGAGGTTATTTGCTAAACACCGCACTGTAAGTTCCTTTTCGGATTTTCAATAGCAGGTCTAGCTGGCACAACGTTCGGCTTTTATCGATTTCAAAGTTGTTTGTTTGTTGTTGTCATAGTTATATCAATTTTCCCTAAAACTACATTTCGACAAACTACAATCCAAGGTCAGTCAGTAGTGAAAATTCCCCATGAAGGCGATTGAAAAATATCGGTATGGTCCCCGAAAAACTGTATTGAAACACTCTTACAAATAGTAATCCCGTTCGCTATTATGCACCATTACCATGGAATCTAAAACATATGGAGGACGCGCGTTTTCCACTGCAGCCCGTCAGTTATGAAACACTATCCCAGAATATGTCACAAATGCAGACAGTGTTGCTACGTTTAAAACAAAACTTAAAACGCTTTTATTCAGAAAATATCTCCATTGATTTTTATGCTTAACCTTTTTTTAAAAAAGTATTTTAAAGTTTATAATACTTGATGTATAATATGTCTCATAGGCTAGAGATTTTTCTTAATTTTCTCTTTTTCTTATCATAATGTAAAGCGCATTGGGGAGAGAAATGCGCTTTATAAGCACTTATATTATTATTATTATTATTATTATTATTATTATCATTATCATTATCATTATCATTATCATTATCATTATCATTATCATTATCATTATTATGAAATATATAATTTATAGAAACATCAGTAAAAAACTACTGCAGCCAAGAGCCCTTTCCAGGAACTGGAAGCTGATAGTAAGAACGGAGATAACACGGCTAATAGTCTGTGTACATATAATTAGTGACTGATCTGTATCCATATCTCTCAGTCTTTCTTGAAAGAGGGAATTAAAGAAGTACAATGAAAAAATTAAAAATGCCAATAAACAACTGCTTGTGTTTGTGTATCTATAACAACACTTTCCATTAACGACAATCGTTAAGGGTATGAACAAGTAGTATTAGGGATAGGCATAAACCATGTACTGTTTACTGATTTGGGACCCCCCGACTAAAAGACTCTTTTAATATAATCTTAAAAAATGCCCCATTTTGAGATGAAATATTAAAAAAGAGAACAACAACAGCAAGTGACCAAATTGTGGAGGGTTCATAGAGGTACTCTACGCAGCCGCATAAGTCCAGCCATGATTGTTACCTTGCCCACTCAGACCAATGAGGGCACAAGTCAGCTACAACATGACACAAGGGCCTATGTCCCCTCTTCTTTTCGAATAATATCATGGGTTATTTAGCTTCTCCTTCCATCTGGTGTCGAAGAGTGAACGCTAACAGATACGTAACCATAACCGCAGTGATTCTTATCGTGTCATTTTTTTGGTTCGGTGATTCTGCTGTCGTGTAAATGAAGTAGCGTCAATTACTTCATCATACAAATTAAACCTTCAATTGATAATTTCAATCCAGTAATGACTGGTTCTTATCTTTTCGGCACGAGTTTCTTTGCAAAAAACGATAAAAAAATTATTCATTGCCAGATGTAAAGAACGTAAACGGTTTCTTCGGTCAGTTCATTTACCGGTGACCACCTTGTAATACCAATCAAAACACAACCTGCACAAAGTAATTTAGGTTTGGGTGGCTCGATAACCTTGCTTGTCTTACTGTCCTCACACCGGAATTTTAAGCCTGGTTTTCTCGAACTATTTTTTCGTGAATTGTATGTTTGACTTAACAGGGCAGCCGTTAATACATTTCTAGTCCTTCAGACTCTCTGGTAAACTTTGCCTTCCTTCTGGCAATTGTACGTTAGACCCAGAACGATGTTCCTGTTTTGGATTTTGCTGATTACACGCNAAACCTTCAATTGATAATTTCAATCCAGTAATGACTGGTTCTTATCTTTTCGGCACGAGTTTCTTTGCAAAAAACGATAAAAAAATTATTCATTGCCAGATGTAAAGAACGTAAACGGTTTCTTCGGTCAGTTCATTTACCGGTGACCACCTTGTAATACCAATCAAAACACAACCTGCACAAAGTAATTTAGGTTTGGGTGGCTCGATAACCTTGCTTGTCTTACTGTCCTCACACCGGAATTTTAAGCCTGGTTTTCTCGAACTATTTTTTCGTGAATTGTATGTTTGACTTAACAGGGCAGCCGTTAATACATTTCTAGTCCTTCAGACTCTCTGGTAAACTTTGCCTTCCTTCTGGCAATTGTACGTTAGACCCAGAACGATGTTCCTGTTTTGGATTTTGCTGATTACACGCTTGATTCCTACCACAGCGGGTAAGATTTCAGGTAAGATTTCTGTTCAGTTTGCGATTTTTAATTGACTCGAATATCATTGCTAGCAGATGTGGGCTGAATAGTTGGGTGAATAGAAATAAAACAAAACAAATCAGAACCAAATTACTACTCAAGACTGAAAGAAACTAAAGAGTAGTGATTTACGCCGTAAAAAAGCAATTTATACTGAGATGCTTGACCGCGTTTAAATGCCGGTAACTTCGTGTTAGCCAATGGGGCTATATGGCTGTAAACCTGCGGCTTTGTAACCGTGAAATAGCAAAAAACCTCAGAAGTGATAAACGTTAAGAAATATAAACTAAAATAAATAAATAAATAAATGAGACTAAGCTAAATGGTCAAGAGTTTGTGAGCAGGTTTTATATTTAAAAACCGAGAGGATTATACATTTAATGCTTCACTATAAACTAGTTGTTATTCGCTAATCGTAAGCGAATTTTTTGTTACTATTGAGTGTAAACATTATGAAGCGAGCATATAACATGCCAGAGGCTTAGTTACCTGCCCTTTTTGTTTAAAGCTGTTTTATTCCGCTTGGTGACCACTGACCCAGTTTAATAATCAGATGCGGAGTAAGCAGTTCGAAAAATCTTGGATCCAGAATGGAATTTGAATATGATTATCTAAGCCTTATTTCAATACCGTTTATAAAGCTGACCTCGTACACAGCTAAAAATGTCTGCAAGGTGATTATATGGTCTGGTATATAACAATTAAAGATTCCTGCAAACGATTTCCGTTTCAGATGTGCACCAAAAAAGTGTAGTTCCTATCACAGTAGGTGAGCTAAAGGAAGGAGAAACGCAAACTATCAACACTGCCCCAAGTAAGCCTGATTAAACATGTGTTTTGTTGTTACTGCTCAGGTTCTCTTCATATGGCACTGGAAGAATTTTCGCCCGGCTGAAAATTCGTGCGTTTGGATGTTCCGCTTACACGGAACCACCTAATAACCGTACGAAAATTTTTAGCTGGTAAGGGTCAAAGACGTGTTTGCCTGGCTGCGTGGTAACGCGTTAGAGGACGCCATTTTGGATTCGTTAAACTAGTGTACTGCGCACGGGCAGATGGTAAAACCACTCACCAAAATAAAAATTCAACCTGGTTTGTGAGCTCTGTATGAACATAGCGAAAATATTGAACAGTTCCGTGTACGCAGTGTTTAGTCAAATTTTTCAGTTGGTCGTCCCGTGAGATGTGAACGACCCGTGCCGATACAGTAGCTTCCAAGTGAATTGAGCTATCGCACATGAGCCATTTTTGGCGACTCGT